TTATCGAACCGACCATGGAGGGGGAAATTTTTTCTAGTGCTCTTAGAGATTGTTAATAACTTTGTAATAATTAAATATTTTTTAATAAAAATTTAGGGTAATAACCTTTAATATGCCCTTAATAAAATAAAAAAAATCCGATCCCCAAATTCCTTTGTTTTCCCTGTCGAAAAAATTCCCGAAAATCACCTCTTTTTTTCGATCGTCACAGTGGTGTTCCCCCTTAAGATAGGTCAAAAAATTTTGCTGTTCTCCATGTATGAAACTCTGAAAACACTGTAACTTGCAAAAAAATGCATTAATTGAGTTAAATTTTTTTTTTTTTTTTTTAATTCTTTGAAAGAATTTCTAAATTTTTTTTTCTACAAATAAATAATTAAACTTATTATTTAATATTATTTTTTCATACTTATTGAGCCACCGGATAAATAAAATTAAAAGCCGTATTTTTCTTCCTAATTGTGTGTCTCGTTAGAGTTTTATAGAAGCTCCCAAAATTATAACTACATTAGCGTTGCCGAGAACCTTTCGGAATAGCTTGTAATCGACTCGTCCAAGTAAACCGGTTGGCTGTCACGGGAGTTCCAAAGGAGCAATCCTCTAGGACACTTAGCCAGTTTGTAATTATAATACTCTTCAGGGTAGACTAGAGGCACTTGATTTCTCAAAATATTTTAATGCTCTGTATAAAAAATAAATTTACCTGTTTATTAGTTATTTATGAATTTTTTCTACTTTAATTTACAGGGAAAAAAAATTTTTAAAAAATATACCCATGGTATAATGATACACGGACCATGCCTGGATCGAGTATTAATTGAGGAATTGGAGATCGCATTTACGAAGAGTAGGTTACATATATACGTATCCTACAGTAGTAGAGCCCGAGGTTGTTGGTGAGCGTTGGCTAGTAGTGAAGCTGATACCACGGCCGGTCTGAATAAGCTGAGTGAACAACCTCAATTGGAAGACCTCAGTAGGGGATTCCATGGTGGCGCCGGGTCTCTGGGGTCTCCGGTCCATCGGGGCGTAATAAAACGACGAGGATAGAAATAACAACCACCACCACCACCACCACCACTACTACTACTACTATATCCACAATCTTGTAGGATAGTTACTACTACAAGGTAATGGAAGACATGCTGGATGTAGACGGTAACCAAGTGAAGGAACATCAGTTGAGAGTAAAGGCGTTTCTCCAGATCCTACACTAGCTTACGCAAGCTGATATGGTGTTCCTGGTGTGGTTGTAAGTATATACTCGCCTTTTTATTATTATTATTATTATTATTATGAAAAAAGAATTCATATATTTAAGAAAAATTTAAAAGAGCACGTACACGGAAAAAACGAGATGACACTGGATATCATTCTAGATTATACTGAGTGAAAAAAAATTTCAGAAAGTAGCTAGTATAATCCAGATTACAATGAGTATAATCCAGATATCACACATGTCAATAAAAGTAAAATTGTAAAAACAAATAGCAAATTGCTCATTATGAATAAAAATATTATATATTATTATTATTATTGTTTTTTTTTTTTTTATAGATGTGTGGGTTTTTCTTATCGTTTTATCTTCTCACCAAGAGTCTTTGTCTCACTCTCGATGATATTTCCTACGATGAGTAGGCACTTGGCCCTCCTATCATTCTCTTTGTCTCTATCTGTCCTCTTTACTCTGCCGCCGTCTACTCGGTGTGACGAGCCAATATATCAAGGTAGGTGTGTGTGTGGGGATTCCTCGTGGCGCCGAGCGTCTGCTCTGTGCCAGAGTGTTATATCGTACGAGTTTCTTACACACTTTTAAATTTCTTCATACATGTTGATATATATACATAAACGTGTGTATATCTATAATATATATTATCTCTTTCTGTTCAAGTCACAGCAAACAGCAAGATCAAAACTCGGCATACAGGCTCTCAACTCCGTGCAGCTTTCAGCTCTACTCGTTCAGGGACGGGTTTGAAGTTGCCAAGTGGGGATAAATACACCACGTTAATATTACTAATACTGCTTTAATAATATCTCAACCTGTATTTTGTATGTACTCTCTTAATGTAATGCCCACTTGCCTTGAATTGTGTTGAGCTGCAATACTTATCTGTATAGTAGCTGGGTTTACGGTACAGGAAGGCTGTACTACACAAACCAGCATTTACACCGACGACACACTGGCAAAGTCCAACGAGTCTTGATCTATAACACAGATAACGCAATGTGATATGAAGATGATAATAATAATAATAATGATAACATGTGTGATACTCGAGAATTATTGTTGAAGTTTCGTGATATTAACTTTTGAGAGAAACTCCGAATAAAAATCGGTGAGTAAATCTCGGAAAATACCTGAGACAGGTTTGTAAGATAAAAAATTTGGGCTAGGCTTTAAATTTTCCTTTATATTATCTCTGTAATCCTCTTTTTCTAGGTACACAGCTGCTTCTGTCTAGTGTCTAGTGTCTAGTCTCCTCGGGCCTTTTACTTAGTAATAAACCCCCTAAAGAAGAGATCCAGAGATCCAGAGATCTTGGACTAAGTCCGCTATTGTATTGTTTAAAATTATTTTCTCAGGTATATAAGTTCTATTGTATTTTAGCTATTATACATGTAGGCTGTAAATTGTCAGCCGTTGTTTCGTCACTTTTGCGAGTAGAGTGGAGGTTAAGCTGAGAATTTCTAGCGATGCCGTGGGCCAACTTCTTGGAAAATAATATTATTTTTATTTACAGTCATTTTAAATACAGCTATTATTTTTACTCGCACATAAACGAGTAAACGATTCCAGTGAATTCAATAGTTTAACTCTGAAAAAGTAAAAAAAGAAAAAAAATTGGTAATTAATTTATTTATTTATTAAAAAAATAATATATTAGGGTGATTCTCTGTAAGGACGTCTTAAACCTGTACAAAATTGACCGACCAAATTATCTTTGATTTTATTAGAAAAAAAATTAACAAGGGCTACAAAACTATCAGCTTAATGTTAATAAATAGCCAAATTAATTTTTGCAACACAGTATATAACTAACATTCAAAAATTTTTTTCAATTTTTCTTATTAAAAAAAAGTTTGCCCGCCAAATTGATGACAAATTTGATTTATGATCAGAAAATACTTGAATATAAATATTTTTAAGAAAAAATTCTTGAAATTAAGGTCTAAAAGTTATAAAAATGCAGCAATACTAAAGAAAAATCAGGTATAAAAATTTTTCAGTTACTGTGTCTTAAAATTGGGCAGCCGTTTATTTCATTTTAGTTTTCAATACTCCAAATAGAAATTTTTTTTTTACTTTTTTTTTACTTTAAAAAACATCCTTATACACTGAAAAAAATTTGCTTGAATAAAGAGAAAAATTCTTGAACCGAGAAAATAATTTTGAAGAGTTTCATTTTCTTGAATCAGGACGAAAAATTTTTGAATTAAGTAAAATTTACTTAAACCAAGAAAAATTTCTTAATTTAAGAATTTTTCTACTCAAATCAAGAAGATGAAATTCTTCAAAATTATTTACTTGATTTAAGTAAATTTTTTTTTCTGTGTACAGAAAATCACCCATTGTTATTTGTTCTTTGCATCAGGAATTTAAATACACACATACTTATACCCCACCGGAAAATACAATCCAAAAGGAATTACTTACAGCTCAACAAAAACTACGTTACAATCGGGAATGCCGGAAGTTTAAAATATACAGCAGGTGTTTTACGCATATTGTTACGTTTTGTAAGCATATAGTAGTACAGTACTAAAAACTTGTATTCTCACACTCGTTACTTTAGGTGTACACATAATCATAGTGATGCTTGATCGATCCTACCAGCAGTATATATTCTGGATGTTGGATTCTGGTTCTTCCTCTTACTAACACTCCTTTACACCAGATATGTGTGAATTTACGTACACTAAAATAAATCTATGTACATTTAAGTGTCTTATTCAGCAAGTGTTGGGTTTAGTTATCTAAAGTAAAACCAACAGCCGGAAATTGCGTATCTTGTCGTCTACTGGCAGAGAGAGGCATCCACTCTATTTCTTCCCATGTCGCCATTATCAGAGTAGAGGGCTAAATAAAATAAAAAAAAAAAAAAAAAAAAAAAAAAAGTGTGTCGATGTCGAGCTGTACTTTTTTGTTGTCCAGCGCTCTTGCAGCAGTTACTTACTATATGTATAATACCTCTACTCTGTACGTACGAATGAACGTACAACGTATGTATAAAATAACCTGAACCTTAATGGTTCACAGCGGGGTATAATACGCAAGATGGCGTCGTCGGGCGACAGCAGTGTTCTAAAAATAAACCATCAGCCTGAAGACTACAACTGCTCAAGTGAAGCTAAAGTAAGAATATAGTGGTAAGTACCAACACTATATTATTATACATATATATATATATATATATATATATATATATATATATATA